AAAGAATTAACCCATATTCATCCCTCAACGAAAATCAAATCTCAACAAATTGAAATTTTGAACAACTCACAAAAAAGAAGATGAGTGGGTGGAGGGAGGAGAGGGTGTGGCAGTTGCGACGGGGAGGAAGAAGATGGGGGAAGCCGGTGATTTCAGTGGTGAAAACTTGGGACATCGACAAGGAGGGGAGTGGATGGCGTAGAATGAAGATGAGCGAGGATGAGATGGAAAATGACTTCTTGAGAAAAACGACAAAATCAAGATTTTAGGCTTCATTTTAAGGTTGACTTGGATTTCATTCTCCTTTGACTCCATTTTTCATCTTTTCCGAATTCTCCTTTGTCATTTTTCCCTTTTCCAAACGGGTTCTAAAAGAGTTACACGATTCTTCTTTTTTACACTAAATTGACCATAGCATATAAATCATGTTTATATCAGATCCAATCAAATCAGACCATAGCATATCAGACCAACAACAATAGTAATGTCACCAATAGGCTAAACCATGATTTACCTTCTTCTTCACTATCCGGTAGGATCGAGAGTAGGGGCATCCGAATTGGGTGTTCCATCTTTTACATTAAACAAATTTTGCCAGATTGTGGCCTATTTTTGTGTGGAAGACCTAAAAACAATACAAATATCATTTTACTAGGTCATGCCACACATATGCCTTATTTGGATACATAATCTTTTATTAAATGTTAGTATTTCAAATAAAACTAATAATATGAACTAATTACAAAAATGTAAAATCAAGACGACGGACACCATGGTAAGGTCCCCATCGATCTTTAGAGAATTTTAAGTCGTTCACCCAAATGGCAACAACTCAACAACCCCGAGACCAGATCGTCAAAGAATAGATTCTCCGCGAGGTTGAGGCCGATGAAACTAGCGGCTCTTTGAAAAAAGACCTCCATTCAACGTAGACGATCCCGACAACGAGGATCTCATTCTACGGCCGACTGAAAGGAAGAATGCAAATTTTATTAACTCGGGTTCTGGAGGGTTCGGCTTTGTTTCTTCTCACAACGATATTAGTCGGCATTAATTTTTTTATTAATGTATTTTTTTATTAAATGTGCTTTTTTATTGAATGTAATTTTTTTAATTTAAGGAATTGTTTCATTTAAATTTAATTAAAATAAAGTTTTATTTAATTTAATTTTAGAAAATGTGTATTAAAAATGTAAAAAATAAAGATTTGAAGTCTAATTTAAAATCCCAAAACTTCAAATCCATTTCTATTAAATCAGTGAATATAATGTATGCGGGCTTCACTACTACTCCGTAAAAAAAAAAAAGATACCCATTAGCTTTTTCCTCATAAAAAACCCTAAATTCGCATCGAATCGTGGTCCTCCGTCCTCCGAGCAGACATAACAATGGTGGCGGCGAAGAAGACGGTAAAAATGGCTGATTTGCTTTTCGTCGTCGTTCATATCACAACAGATTCTGTTAAAAAATGGCTGATTTGCTTTTCGGTTCCGTGAAATGATTTCGCAGAAGAAGACTCATGAGAGCATCAACAACAGGTTGGCTCTGGTCATGAAGAGTGGCAAATTCACCTTGGGGTACAAGACCGTTCTCAAGTCCCTCAGAAACTCCAAAGGTTTTTTTCATATCTCTTTTAATTTTGTTTGGAATTCCTTATGTTGATTTACTTGGATCTGAATTAGTCTCCAATATATTACTCAGATTCCCATTGTTTGCTGCATTTGACATTTTCACTGCTTG